TAGTACAAAGTAGTTTTAAATGTTCCGGTAGAATTTTTTCACTGTTTAGGATTAATTGAACAAAAAAATAGCTTATTTTAGTTTAATTATTCTGCTGATCAAACTAAGAATATGGTTTTTGGGTGCAGCGGCCTTGGTTTCTAATCTATTTGATCCTTTAACTAATGATGTTGGTCCTTAGCAAATGCCCAGGCAGTGGCACAGCTGATAGATTACATGATTCAGGCGAGCTCTGAAAGTCTCCTGAGCTTTCTTTCCTTGGGATAATGCAATCCGGTGCTGTCGAAAAGAAGAGGCTGTCCACTTTTGTATTTTTAATGTAAAGTCTCTTTGCCTGAAACTTGAGTGTGATACTGCTGATTACTAGTCAAAAGTGTTTTGTGTTTTTTTTGTGAAAGCCTCTGTTGAGCCAGGTTTTTATTCCCCAGATAAAGACTCTAAAATACTTGATTACGAACCCAGGCAGGCTGATTTTCACGTTTTAACGTCACATCCACTGAGGGTCTTACCTGTCTCTTAAGAAGAGTGTGCAGGCGCTGCTAATCTGTAAACCCAGAGCCCATATAAGTTGCATTTCATTCCCACAGTTTACCAGTTGACATGGTTGGGCATAAAAGATGTCTCTGAAATATTCCTTTCAACGCAACAGAGTTGTAAAGTAATGAAACTATGATATTTAAAAAAAACAATGAATAATGCTGGAAACATCTTGTAGAGGTAAATTGGTGTTTTGCTTCGTTGGGATCTGGTGGAGGAAAGTACGTTATTGTTAATTGAACAGAAAATGCTGTGAGTAGTACTGTGTAGTGTAATAGTTGTGCCTAGTATTTCAATAATTTGTGTGTATTTAATCCTGCACCTATTGTTACACATTTATGGAAGGTATAAATATTGAAGTATATTCAAATCAACTCTGACCTGGTCATCCTGGCAAATGATTTAGTAATTAAACACTATTATTACAAAATAATTTAAGACGCACAACAGTTTTAAATACTTCCGTTGCTGTTCTTCTGGAATGGAACAGAACAAAAGCAAATAAATTAAGGTTCACTAGTCAGCTATCATAATATTACCTCCAGGTTTGGAGTTGCGCTTCACACTTTTCTGTATAGAACATTTACACGATCTGGTCTCTCATCAACTTAGATAATTATCGTGGTTGGCCTGTGTATGTATTTGATTACTTAAGGGAATATAATAAGAGTTTTACAATCCATATTTTATTTTTTCAGTTACGTGATTTGGTAACTGATGGAGCTCTTTCAGGCAAAACATACAGAATGGGATATCTTTGGTACTTTGGATGTAAGTCCAACAGATATCTGCTGATCCCCATGTGCGACAAACAGAGTGTTATCTCATACAGCAGCTGTGTAGCACATTATAGCACATTGGTCTTGTTGTGCTAAAAGGAACAGCACCTCATGCCAGCTGGAAAGGGCTTTTCCGGTGGTGATGACAATATCTTCATCACCTTTAACTGTAAATATACCCGAGCAAACATTCTCATTTGAATAGGCTTCATTGCTATCTGCAAGCTGTGATGGGATTGTAATATTTGTATAGATAAATCAATGAATTGCTTTTAAAGAGAATTCAAAGTGCCATCAGCATTTGTGGTAATTACTTCTGGAGCTGGCAGAGAAACTGTTAGAATAACCAGCTGCAGTGATGGTGAAGGTAGCAATGGGAATTATTGGTTCACCTTGCCTGTCCAGCTATCTATATATCAGACTGTCTGGTTTATATATGCGTATGAATAAAAAATTGTAATTTAATGTTTCGGTTTCTGAGAAGGGGTGATTCTTGCAAAGAGGCGACAATTGCTCTAATTGCAGTTGGATGGTTCTCAGTAATTAAAAGGCATTCTGCTTTAATGGCTGTGTTCACAGGAAATGGCACGATGCTACAGTATGAATTTCAATGCTGATAGTTTCTCGGAGGCTGAGACCTATGCAACTTTGATCCCTGCTTTTATGAAATGACAGACTAGGTCTGAAGCAGGATGATGAAATCTCATAAACATCTTTATTAGCGATGCCCTTTGAGGTCAGGCCAGCAGATGAACGTAGGCTACACATGTATTTTTCAAGTAGAAATGTCAAGACTTCAGAAAAAGAGCCAAGGAGGTAAAGGGTAAAGAGATTAAATCTTTTTTGAATATTTCTACGGGGTCATGAGGGATTTGAATATCATGCAGTAGAATGGCATTTCTGTTCGTAAATCAAAGGTGCATACAAGAACCAAAAAAGAATTTCAGATGTCAATCTTGAAAAATGGAACCCTGATCACTTTTTTAGGTTGTACTGGTTTTTGACACCAGACTTATTCTTCTTCTTATCTCCGCTAATTTGCTTTATCAACTTTAATTGTCTTTATTTTGAAATTTAGACCTTTTTCTTTTTAATCAAGTGTTTCACTTCTGCCTTCAGTACTATCTTTCGGATTCCTATTGTGTAGTAAGTTAAGGGGCTGTCAATATAGATTTTCTAATGCAACAGTCCTTATACCACTTTTTGTGGTACAGCACATTGACTGCTTTCGGTAACATCAGTAATAGGCCTAATTGCCACATATTGTGGGATGAGACTAGGTTAATTCTAAACCTGTGAGGTGTCTGTGCCAGTATTTGATATAATGTAACAGAATGGTGTCTGTAGTCTGCAGGGCTTTCTCTTCATGATCTATATGAAGTGGTATCAATAAGTCCAGCAAGAGTGATCTCCGTATTTTTCGGAGCTCTGTAAAAGCATCATGCTTTGCTTTGAGGACACCTTTGCATAGTGTATTAATAACATTTCTGTGTAACTATATATAAATCCCCACGGATCCTAGAGGACTTTACATATAGGAAGGGACCGATTCATCGGGCATTGAAGTGTGGGTAAGACCCAAATGGGTGATGTGCAGCATCAGTAGCCCTGATCTCCCTACAGCAGATCAGTTAGAGATGTAAGACATTTCTTCATCATTCGAATTAACTGGGAATTACCTTTAGGTATGCCAGATTCTGCAAGACCAGAGTGAAATGTAATCATGACAGCTTGATTAGCACCCATACTATAGTAGGGTGCCATTGGGTCTATAATGATCAGATAGTCCGGACCAAGTTTTAACATCTCATGTGACATAAGTACAACGTTCTCTTCGTGGGTGATCTTGCACCCTTGCTTAGCAAGAGATATGAAGAGATTAGGCTCCAAGGTGGTAACTGCTGTGTCTAGGTTATGTCCTTGGTTCAAAATTATAGTTGACTGATGTTGCAAGATAAATTATTGCAAGTCAGCTGAATGTCCCCTATGTTTTTGTGAGCATTGAAGTTGATGCACATTTCCTCCTAAACTGAGAGCAAAGCTTCCAAATGCTTTCAGTATGAACCATTTAACATCCACTGTAGCCCTGAGAAAAAACAAGGTTAACTGGCATATACATAAAATATTTTTTTCTGTTTTATTTATCTGGAACACAGCACATGAAATGCAGAGAGGGCTACATCATTACAAAAATCATGTCATATAGAGGTATTTTTACAAGTTATGATGAGAACCATTTGTTTTGTCTGGTGACAGATCCTAAGTATAGTCCATTCCATTAACCTTTTCTGTTCACCAGTAAATTTTTAGAGACACACTAAAAAGATATGGTGCTTGTCTTCAATATCCCTTTAGTTTAAAAAAAGGTTTAACAAGTACATTATGCATCCTTTTGCCCACTGAAATCAGAACAGATCTTTGGAGGAAGACAATTACTGAGATATTCCCTCTGGTGTATAGCTTTTGCTCAGGAAATGAAATACAAATGGAAACATTTCCTCCCACTCTTCTCCCGTCGTTCAGATTTATTTCCTTGGAGAGTGGGGAAGAAAATGGGCAGAAACCCTGGAAGCATTTCTTCAGACATACAATAGATTGAACCAATTGTTTTTGTGGTTTGAGGGAGTTTTGCATTCACTGACCAAACTGATAGCGGGTCGACTGCAGCTGTCCAGTGGTTTCAATTGGTTGGGTAACACAATAATTCCTTGCATTTTAACAGTGCATCTCTAAGGATACCACCACTTTGCATATACGATCCACATTTGTTCAGCATTACAGTGCAACCTCCACCCGGGTGAACTGGCGCTGCCGTTATGCGCCAGTAGCCTCACCACACAGCAGTGGAGAAGTGAGAAACTGCTTAAGGGAAGACCATAGTGAAATTTAGCTAGGACATCAGGGTTTACATCTCTAAACTTTTGAATCATTTCATGGGATCTTTAATAACCAAGTAACCAGGAGCTCAGTTAGACTTCTCATCCAAATGATAGTGCCTCCTATAGTACAGTGTCCATGGTCACTGGGTTATTGGTTTTGGAAATTCTAGTCCAAAGGGAAGACTGCCATAGATATCGATATTGATCGGTCTGTCAACTCCACTTGCATCAACAGCTTGATGTTTCTTGGTGGCCAATCTCAGTTCTTGCCAAGTCCAGCCCTCCTTAGTTTCTGAGATCCTATAAGAGCTCAGTCTACAAGGTGGTAACACTGTAGGATGACTGTAAATGGTTCTCGGTATTGATAGTGGAGTCTTGAGCACATTGTTGGTCTCATATGAATTAAACTAAAAACTTGTAGTAATCGAGGTGTGTTTTTTCCTCCACTGTGTGTAATATTTTGGTTGGGTGACTGCTAACTTTATCACACTAAACTGTGGTGCAGTCGAATATATGTCTAATTGTTTGTAAGGAATATTGAGGACAGTGGAGATTTATTCAGGGCGTTCTGCCTTTTTTTCTTTCTCTGATGAATCTGCAGTTGTCAGTAAATGTTATCCTCGAAAGACCTTGTACGTATTTTGTTTTCGGCCTTTTTTAAAGCAGAAGAAACTAGCTGCCTTTATGGTGCATCTGGATCACGTTCTGGGCAACATTTGTCCTCATTATCCTGGCAATACTGTAGATGCATGTATTGAAAAAGGGCATGGGCGCTGATTTCTTATTTCCGTGTTTTGCCTTTCAGCGGGGATCTGACGAGCTTCTTTCTTCTGGTTTCACTAACGGCCCTTCTACCATGAGCAATTCTACTCCATCTACAGGTACAGTGTATTCTTCTTTCTGGAGTCTGTCTGCATTTGCACAAGGATACGGCCCTTTTTTTTCTTTCCAAAAAAATCACATTTCAGTATCATCACTGTCAATTTTCAATTATTTTGGAACAAAACAATTGAATAGACTTTCTTAGAAGAAGCTTGTAACAGTCAAAGCAAGTGAAACCTGACACCCGGGAGAACTGACAACCCCAATGTCCTCTGGGTTTGTGTTTCCATTTCAAGACGGGTTTTAAAGCCAGGAATGTCTTGTATTGAACAAGTAAAGGTTTAATCCATGCTAAAAAGAGACAATGTTTTGTCTGTGAGCTTTCTTTGGGTTAATGTTGTATTTCTTTTCTTCTCTCTTCAGCATGGGATAAACCTTTACTTCTTCTTTTGCAGCCTAAGCATGCTGACACGGCTACCTCCTTGAATTATGTATTGTATTTAATAAAATATGAAATAGCAGTAACATATGCTTCTGGAAAACTTTTTTACATCACTTAAGCCCTGTATAAAAGATCTCGATAAGTATGCAAGACTGTGTTCATACTGTTTGAGTATGAGATAAGTGTTCATACTGATTTTTCAAAAGGACCATATTTACCTTTTGTGCCAGGTGAGTATATATAATCAAAGCCTTGCCCTTTGACCTGATCTTCAAAATCTCACTTGATTTCTCACTAGTTGCAATTGCTTGTGTTAACATTTATGCAGGCAAAAACTTTTTGCAACTGCTTTGCAAAGCAACACCCAGGCCTTTAAAGCCTGAAGAATTTTACTCAGAGGCTTTGATTCAACAAATGCATTCCTTCTATGACACTTGAACATAGTGCAACACAAAGAATAAGGAACAGTATTGGTTTTATTGCAAGAAACGTTGTGCAGTTACACACAGATGGGAAAAATAATAATTATGCCAATAGCACATAAGAATGTTTTTTCATTTGCCTTGTTTAACATGGTATGAAAGTATTTTTCAACACAATTTTACATCCATTTATTTCAGTACAGTATGTAACAAAAGTGAGTTACATAAGTACTTTCCCATCTCCTACTCATTTTTATGTTGTCTGTTCAGCACTGTGTACTTCAACAGCTTTACATACAAAATGGTTAAATAACAATACCCTGAAACAACAGTAGGGAATTGGAGCTGCGTTTTATCTTGGAAACCAGCTATACCAGCTCTCTTCCTTGTTGACATAGGTGCTTTGAAGTTTGTTTAATATCAGTGTATTATGTAGTTTTAGGGGGAGCTAAATGAACTTGAGGAAAAAAACAAGGTGTTGGTATTAAAGTGAAAAGAATGGTTCTGTCTTACACGTGTATATGGGTTACTCACAAAGACAATCATTCTTTAGAAGCAGAAAGCTCAGTCGTTTAATATCTGTGCTTCAAAATAAATAAATGTTTTTGCTTGCGAAAAAAAGGGCCATATGTACAGTATGTGTGACCCACAATTTTTGGTGAGGTTTTCAATAGGGGTGAAAGTTCATAAACCCAAGATTCTTTTTCACTGGACTGAGATACTGTTTCCTTTTTTTACTGGCATATACTGTACAGGGAACAGACCAGGTGTGCTCAGAAATATATTTGTTTATGTATGTGTGGACATGTATATTTAAGGTAACAGTTTATACTTCATACACAACAGCAAGGAATAGGGTACAAAGAGGAAAAATTAGTAAACTAGGCTTGTGTGATTTGAAAGGCGGAAAGACTCAACACACCATGATTCTGGGAGTGTTTAAACAATTGGATTACATAAGAAAATAAGAGCTAAAGATTTACACTGCTACATAGTCTGTGGATTATGTTAATTAACCTGTACAAAGGTTAACCTAGTAGAAGATAATGTATTGTTTTAGGGGGTTATTATAACAATCCATTGTGGTGCATGCCTAAAATGACATTTTTGCATTTGGCAAAAAATGTGGAAGTGTTCTTCACTTCCTTTGCAGTCCTCTTGTATCACTGTCAATATTTATTACCTCATTGTAATTGCCACCACTGGTGCTGTCATCAGCTTAGACAGTGACTCCAATAATGAATTACACCAGTAAAACATAAATTGTAGTGTCTTCCACAT